AACATCGTATAGCTAATAAGTAGTGTGAGTTGAACCCATAGCATCTGATCCCCAAACTATGTATTTACCATTGTTTTAGTCTGTTTCCTGTTGCTGTAACAAAATGCCTGAAACTGGGTAATATACAGAGAAAAGAACCACATATGTAATTCTGGAGACTGGGAAGTCCAAGGGGCCTCATATAGAAGATTTTTCTTGCTGATGAGGACTCTGTAGAGTTCTAAGATGACATATAACTTTATGTGGTAAGAGAAAGTGTGCCCAAAAGAGCTCACAAAACAGAACTACTCCCTCTATAACTCATTAATCCATTAATCCACAGATGGATTGATCCATTCATGAAGTTAGAGCCTTCATGATCCAGTTACATCCCAAAGATTCCCAATCCCAAATACCATTAAGWTATAATTTGGGGGACTAAATTTTTAAAGTATGAGACAAATGTTCAAACCATAGCACCACTTCACTTTCCTGTCTCTCAGTGGCTTTTATGGGATTCCGCAAATTGGATAGTTGGAGAAAAAAAGACAATGGGAACAGAATGAGCAAATACATGGAGAAGAGTAGAAGACATCTTTTGAAAATTGAGTGTGCTCAGATTGATTTAGTGACTAATCTGATGTTGGAATGGAAGAGGAGTGGCAAATTAGAATGGTTATAATCTATTAATGACATTAGGAAAATAAGTATACAAAGCAAATATTTTGGGGTAGGTTTTCTGTATATTGACAACATCATCATGAATCTCAAATGATCCCAACCCTTTATTAAAACAGAATTTTCCTTTTATGGGGAATGTTTTAGGGTCTCCAAAATTAACYGGGTTCAGTGACTCATTAAAAGAACTCAGGACTCAGGATATAGTTTAATTTATGGCTAAGACCAATTATAGTAAAATAACACAAAACAGAGTCAGCAAAGAAAAAAGGTTAATGGAACCCAGTTGCCAGATTTGACAGTCCTCTGCCAATGGACTTACCCAAGGCACATCTACTTCCTCCAGAAGTGAGTTGTACCAATGCATATGATGTGTTTTCTACTGGAAAAGGCTCAGCATGCAAAATTTTTTATTGGGGAATGGTCACACAGGCACCTTCCACCTAGCATGTACCCCAATACTAGAAAGCAGGTGCTCAGAATAAATTATATTGCTTATATAAAYGGGTTAGGAAAAGTTAGCTACTCTTACCCTTTAAGGAAAACTTTCTTCTCTTTACTTGCCAATATCCTTCATGTTGGCTAGGGATCAACCTAAGGAGCAGGGCTTTCTAAGGTTAGAAAACCTCAGGCCTGTTACATTAACTCTTTACTACACAGAATTTCCAGAAAAATATGTTCTTTGTCAAGTAAATAATATTGCCTTTTAATCTGAGCATAAGAGCCTAAGTGAAAGAGACATCCATRTTCACTTTAATAAATGCATTTGATGTATGCTTGGGAAATAAGCTTAGCATCAAATCACATGGCCCAGAATTGGTCTAAGTATAGACTGGTTGAGGCCTCCAGGCTGAGAGCAAGTATCTGCAAGTCTTTTCACCTTCTAAGGGTTACAACAAAACATTCTTTGTAGTCTTGCTAAGAGGGTGGCTAAAATAAGTCAGAGAAACCTTAGTCTATCCCATACCCCAAGAATTTATTGTATTGTGGTTGGTAGAGGGCTTGAGACTTGGATGTTCAGAATAGACTCTCTTTGTCATCCTGAGACTCATGTCACACATGAAACTTGCTTATAAGCCTCAAGAAAGGAATAGTTCACACAGCCATAACTGGCGGTATTGGAGATCAAAGATTTAATGTGGAGAAAATACATGTTTTAATGTTTTGAAACACTTAAATTTTCTRATGTCAAATCCAATCTGGTATATTGAAATCAGAGATATCATAGAAAGGGACACATTGGCTTTGAAATATACTAAAACTGAAGGATCAAATTCTTGAGCTGGGAAAGTGACTATGRTAATGTTTCTATTGAAAATGAACAGATAGCTTCTGTAATCCCAGAAGCTGGGGGACCTGAGGCAGGAGGATTGCAAGTTCAAAGTCAGCTTCAGCAATTTAGCAAGGTCCTAAGCAACTTAGCAAGACCCTGTTATGGATGTGACTCTGTGGTAAAGGCCCCTGGGTTCATTCCTTGGTACCAAAAAAGAAAAAAAAAAAGAAGAAAGAAAAGAAAATGCATAGACAAAAGGCTTTACAAATACATAGTATAAATGCATAATATGTTATGATGAGATGTAGTATAATTTGTTTCTTGTGAATTGTAAATATAACTAATTAAATGCACAGTTGCAGCTATCCAATAATGTCAGGAAGAGTGAATTTTAAAATTTTTTGCCTGAAAATCATACATCAGTAGAAACAAAAGTAAACACTAAATTTCTGTGTCCTTATACTCAATAGACTTGGAAAATAACCTTCCCAATCTTGTGACTGATTTGTTCTTACTTCATTTGAGATTATTGATAATGTATTTCAAATTTTCTTGTAGAATCATTCTAGCTTTTGTAGATTTTGTATTTTTTTTAACACRGAGAATTCTGATATGTCCTGATTGATTTAATACATGGTCCATGCCATGTTAGCCATTTTTCACTTACTAGTATTTAGACACAATAAATAATGATATATTTAATAGAATATGAAAACTGYCTACTCTAATATGCAAAGTCTAATTCTGTTGTTTAAATGTCCTAATATGTTTTGTTCTTGAAGGTTTCAACATTAATTATAACTTTCAAAACAGAAAAAAAACAGCATTTCCTATTAAGTGAAATAAAACAATATAAATGAATAAATTGTAAATGACATACTGAAATATCAGCCATGAATTTTGATGTACCAGTATGTTAATGTGCGTATATTCTAGAAAATTCATCATGAAATGACTGATTTTTGTTTTGTGTACATCTTTTTACCTAATTTTAATACATACGATAATTTAAATGTTTCATGTATATATACATTTATAAATATATTAAACACATTTGCATTTTCTTAAAAAAATCTGTAGAGATTCTTATAGACATATTCTGCTATCTAGTATCTTTTGCAATTTTTCCCAAAATAAAATACACAATTGTAATAAATATTAAGGAAGTCAGAAATTTTGCATGATTTGTTTCCTAAATACTCTCAGACACTTGGGATGTCTACTTTACTTGAATGCAATTAGTAATGTTTTAATATATTTCAACAACTATTATATATTTATTTATACATTTAAATGCTCTTATGTGAAAATATTTCCTTTATTTTGTTCCAAATACTCTCAATACTATTGAAAGCTTATTTTATATAATTAAATTGTCAAGGAATAGCTTCTGCTCTCCCAGCATTTATTATCTGCTCTTCCAGAATTTATTAAAACCCACCATTTTGATAATTATTTATAGATTTACTGAAATTATGTCATTGTTCTCTCCAATCTAATAGGGAACTCCAAACATTTAAACAAGTAGTAAAGAAGAAAAATAAGAGAGCCTATACAATGACACATAACAAGGGGAGTAAAGTTTTTTTTTTGTGTGTGTGTGTGTGTGTTTGGCATAATTTAAAGAAAGTAGGAATTTGAAATGAGCTTGAAATCCTAAAAATGTCCCCAAAGAATAGAGTATGTCATTGAACATCCTTAAATCTGAATGAGATTACTCTAGAGCAAATGATTATTCTATTTATTTTGTGCTAATCTCTAGAAGGCCATAGTATCTGAAAATTTGCAATGTGTTGAATAGATGGATGAAAGAAGATTTAATTAAATTAGCAAATAAAAATGACCATCTATATGAGTTGGAACATCAATGAATCTATCTTTTCAAGGTCAAGATAGCCTTTTACCCTTAAAGACAACAATGGTAGTATGTCATATCTGTAAAGAACTTTTTAGTTTYCAAGAAACTCATATATTTCTTCTCATATATTATTAGGAAAATAGGACAAACTGGTTATTTTTATCCTTCAGAAAACCATGTACACATGCATTGAAAAAATTAGGAAGAAAGGGAAGAAAGGAGGAGGCAACAAAGGACATGAAATTTCAGTGATCATTTAGAATATATTGTTTTTGCTATAATTAACAATTCACTATTTCCATTGCTATCAATCATTAGCTTTGCATTAACATGTACAATTTTTATGTTTCTATGTATTAGTTAAAAATAATTTTAGTTTGAATTTTAAAATACAGTTATTTTGATATTATATTATTACCACCATATCTCTAATGTTAAGTTTATAATCTAGTTGTAAGCATTATCAGAAAAGGAAAATAAATGATTAATTCAAAATAAAGATTTAATTAGGATTTTCAATTTTTCTTTACATTCTTGTATAAATCAGTGTTTTTTTCTTAAGATTTGCAAATGCTTACGTGTTACAAATACTTATTTATCATTTTCCAAACACCATACAGGTATATTTTCTACATATAAAAATACAAATTATATGGTGAAACTTCACTACATAAGATAAAGTGCTAAATAGAAAAATTTATCCAATTTTTTATGATAAATTTATCAAAAATATCATTTTGTGGAAAAATTTTAAATTTCATTAATTTTTATTATACATGTTCAWTAATTCCATATTACATATAATATAGCTTTTTGTTACCATGACATATACCTGAGAAAATATAAGAAAAATTCCATTTCAGCTCATGGTTTCAAAGATTTTAGTCCATAACCAATTAGTCCCATTATATTTTAGCCTTTGGTGGGGACCACGTGGTGTAGTAAAGTTCATTTTGAGTCTGAGACATGAAAGAATGCCATATGAAGAGGCTGAGATTCCAATATCTACTTCAAGGACATGCCTTCAGTTAGTAGCTTCACCTCTTAAACGTTCTATCTCCTCCCAAGAGAGCTACCAATTGTGAACAAAGTCTTTAACATAGTCTATAATCCTTTGAGGGATACATATCCAAACAATAATAGAGTAAAATAATATGACATGATTATATTGAAAATTAACTGGTTTCTTCTAGTCAAATTGAAATGCAGAGGTCACGTTTCTGCATAAATTCTATTCTTGTGTCTGAGGAAAGCAACAATGAATGAGACTTGCAAAACCTGGGAGAAAATGAAACAATGAAATCAGAATTTAATCTATAAGAATAGTAATTTATAAAGTTGATACTACATAATTACCAAAATGCCTGTTTTAAAGAAAAAAGGGCTTGAATCTGGTGATCAAGTTTTAGAGTAAGTTACACATGGCAGTGAATAAAAAATCTGCAGAATGAGTCTTCTGGAGTAGCCTAGTTCTCACCAAATTCACCTATAGGGGACTAATAGAAAACCTATTAGAGTTAATCATATACACTGTCATTGGAATAGATGCCTTGATGAACTGCTGATCTAGTTTTTGTTCATCATCTTTCTATGTCTTTTATCTGACAAAACTCCTTCATTTTAGTATGGCATCAGGAAAATGGTGTAAAAAGAATAGAAGATAAAATAAAGCACAGATACCATCTCCRTCTTCAATCTTGTCTTAAACATACCAGTCTGAACACAATAGAGAAAAAAATTTTAAAAGAATGAAATTAACCCTGATTCTTTAAATGGTACTCTTGGTTTACTATCATTCTGTGATTAAAACTGCTACCAGKTGAGGAGATGTAATGTTAGGTCAGTAGTTTTGTGGATAAACATAAAACCAGATTCAAAATCAGTATTCTACTATGTCAAAGAATGCATTACAAAGTTGCTCCAATGATAAGTATAATAATACTATAATAAAACTATAGTAATCCTCACTATAATAATCTATCCACTCATAATTTGTCTGAATTCATAGCTTGCACTTCCTCTTTTCAATCCTAACTGAGGCTGGAGAATGGTATTTTTGAATTCCAATTTTGCAACTGGCACCCTGCAGGCCTTGGAATGTGTTTATTTTTCTTCTTATTGAATTTCCAACATCTAGTATAGAACAATATATATTAGGTCTCCACTTTCCTACAAATTTACTGAATGAATAAATGTATGAATACATTAACAGTAAATCTTAGTAAAGGTAATTATTTACTTAGATTTCTGAAGTTTGCCAAATTGTAGAACTCCTTACAAGGTACTCTTACTACATATATATTTTATATGTTTAACAAGTGATCATCCTGGATGAAGTTATTTCATTATTTTGACATATCAACAGTCCATTTATTCTCTTACTTCCTGTACACTATATATATATATTATATATATATATTTAAATATATATTTTATTTTAAATTATATAGATATTATATATCCTTTATCAATATTGCTTACCAATAATAAAATATAGATATTTATAATAAATAAATTTTATATTATATGAAAATATTTATATTATATATATTTATATTATATTATAATCTTTATATATTCATATATTTATATCAATATAAATACATATAAACATATTTTATACAGAAAAAGAGAAAATAAATGAACAGATGTGTATCTCAAAATAATGAAATAACTACATCCAGGATGATCACTAATTAAACAGGTTCTATCTACCTAGTGACTAAGGTATTGCTTCCAGCTGGATCCTTCTTGGTATAAAGAGTCACAAGGTCCTGGCTCCTATTTTATTAACTTTTTTCCTATTTTTCCACCAAGTTGTTTTGCAGTCTATTATGCATAGTCTATATTTAATATTTYTATCCATAAACATATAAACAAAAGCTCACCTCTGAAGTCAAAAGTCCAAAATTAATTCCAATGAAGGTTAAAGCATTAGCATCAAACCATGTGCTGATTTTACCTCCACAACCCTAAGGAAAAGAAACTACTTAGATTAACTTGGAGATGAAAATGGCTTTAATAACTCTGTTAAGCAGAAGAAAAGACATATAGAAATTAATAATTTACCAATGTCTAGGGAGCTTCTTTATTTGTTAGCAGAACACTTCACTTGCTGACTTTAAAGTTGCTAATATATTGACACAAAATCAAAATCAGAAATTTATTAAGTTTTGGAAAGGGGTTTGGCTTTCTGCAGACTACTATTGTAATTCATCAGGGTACATACCACCACTGAAAATAACTATTTCTCAAATATAGAAGTTATTAAAATATTTAATTCTTGATTTATGCATGAATCAATTATGTAATTGAAAAGATACATACTAAAGTTAGAAGTATAAAGTCAATGTATAAACTATACAAAATATTAGTGGTTCTTGGGAAAGGAATCCCTGRGTTTATCAATATTCCATGTCATTAATACCAGTTGTTCTAGATGAGCTTTTACTTTGTTTCTGCATCACTGTCCTGAATATTACTTTTGTGATCAAGAGAGGGTTCTCTCCTTTTAACAACCATGTGTTTTTCATTCTGGTATTGTTGATCCCTTACCAATCCTATCCACCAGGATTCTCACAAAAGTACCTTCTCTTTCTGCAGGGCTTTTGCAGCCTTGTTTAAGAGAAAGGTTGATCGTATCCTAAGTTAAAGGAGTGCTTAAATCACTTACAGTTTATTTATTTATTATATGCCTGAAACAATACTACAACTAACCTAACTACAAGTTCAGTTTCATAATGTGATTTAAGAATGTAGCCACCATGAATAACATGGTATTTATATAAAAATTTGCTCAGAATTCTAAATGAACTTCCAAAACAAACAACAAACACACTTTCCACCCTTGGACAAACTTTGACTTATTTTTACCTCCAGGTAAGTTGCATTCAGTGGCTCATCACAAAACCATTTTCTTAATGTAGAATTTGTGCAAGAACACGGAACCTGGTCTGAAGTTTCTTTATTCTTATTCTTTATCCAATCTGTGTAATTGTGTTGACCACAACACTGTAACTAGAAAAAAGGCTCTATAAATTTTAGCATAAACTATTCAAAATGCAGTTAATTATATGATTTCCATGCATATTAAAGTGTTTTTGAAGGTAATATATCTCCCCACTGCAATGTAATGAATTAAATAAGTTTATTTATTTTTTAAATAAGTATATTTTGTTGATTAATTTGTTTGGTGTTGATACTGTTTTTGTCAGCCAGAGCTAAAGATTCATATAAGCAGGCGTGGATAGATAACATTATATGTCTATTTTATATTATAGGACTCCCAGATTGAAGACTTACTGGATAAATATATACACAAATGACATTTCACAATGTACTATACTGCAGGAAATTACTTGAGCCAYATCTTGCTCCTAACTGTAGAACTTCTCTCTATATTAATTTAAAATCTGCTGTCACACTTGTTTGGACTATTTAAAAAGAGAGGATATTTTTACTTTTTTAGGATTAATGTGAGATATTGACTTTCAATTTGATACTGTGTGAAAAATTTCCACAAAGAATAAAAAATAGGATAATAAAAATAGTCATAGAAATGCTCAAACTTCTAAGAAATGTCTCGTTTCCAGTGTCAATTCTGGAATCCTGGTTGAATTGGATGGATCGGAAAGAATCAATTTAAATTTTTGTCACACAGGAAATAACAAAAAAAGCTGAGTATTTTATTGTTTTCTAAATGTGTTTCCTAATCTKTGCACAATTAGGAAAAGTTTCATGACTTAAATTAATGCTTCAAAGTTAGGTTACTAAATATTAATCAAAATAAACACATATATATCTCAATCATACCTGTCGCTAGGAACTACAAACTGAAATCTCCTTATTAACAGTGATGTCTTAACACAGAATGGTTTTCCTACTTATCATAGGTTTTACTGCAACCTGAAAAATCAGCACAGGTGCAGATCTTATACATCAGAGAAAAATGAGTAAAAGCATTTATAATTAATTTCAATTGAGTTAAAATGCACTTGATATTAAACGTACTAAAAGTAATAACTGTTTTTATGTGAGGCAAAGAGTGTAGCAGTAAAGAATACAAAATCCAGTGCTAGAGTCTTTGGTTTTAATCTTGACTCTGTCACATCTTAGCTGTGTAATTCTGGTAGTTCCCAATTTTTTTATTCTTCGTGTATAAAATCAGGATAATATTTCCTACTTCATTGGGTTGGGAGGATTAAATGCAATAATATATGCAAAGCTTTTATTAAAAGATCTGGCACTATGTAAATGTTTGCTATTTTCTTTTTCTTTTCTTTTTGGTACCAATGATTGAATCCAGGAGGTGCTGAGCCACATCCCTATCCTGTTTTGTTCATTATAGTTGCTCATTATATCCCCAAGTGAAAACTTTCCATATCTTCTATGTATACACTTTTCCAGGTGAAAACAGGTTTGAGTGCACTTTAAATATCAATGAAGAAAAAAGCAGTTACAAAAGAGGGATAAACTCAAGATGATGAGGATAATGCCACTTCACTCTCTTGCTTGGATGAAATTCAACAAGCTCTTCTTCCTCTACCTACCCCTTGCTCCCACCTCTTCTCTCTCCCAACGTCAGTGATCACCTTTGATACCCAATTAATAGTTTTGTACTAATTTCATCTTACTGTTTTCTGTAAGGCATTCAGAATAGTCCACTTGGGTATGTCTTCAGGCTTATCTTTAGATCCATACTCAGAAATGACTAAATCCATTTTGTCATGCCATAGTTGTTGAACCTGTTGAAAAATCRCATTAAAAAGCAAAAAATTCACAGAAACTTTTCCTAATGGTTCCCCTCAAAACAGTCTTCAATGTCAGAAATAAGAGGACCTTTTTTCAGTGATTTTTTCCATAAAACTCCTTTTAGAAATTTTATTGTCAAAGCATTTGATCTTTCACTTCATGATCTATAGGAAGAATATATTAAACTTCATTATTAGGAGAAATGAATGTGCTAATCTCCAGAATGTCAAGGGGTTCCACATTTCTTATTATACATTTCTTTTCAGGAATAATTGTGGAAGACTTAGAAAAGACTTAAAAATGATCACTGAAGGTCTTTTCAATGGAAACTAGGCTTCTCCAAGCAAACTTATAGGATTCATTAATTTGATGGCTGTCTGTCCATTCATGGCTTATAATTTAACTTGTACAACTCTGTAAATTGTAGAAAACTATAGTTATACAAATTATTATTGGTCAGGTAAACAAAAATGATTTTTGGAGGGAGAAAATACCAGTAAATTTTCCCCTCTCCAAGCTTGTTTTGCATCTCTTAAGTGATGACCAATAAAAACATCTCCTTTGATTTGATTTTTGTATTTTATTGCTTTCTTTATTAATGGAAATGTTAAATAAAATCATTGACATACCTACTAAATGTGTTTATTAGAATTATGATTTTTCTATTTTAAATATGTTCCATTATAATACTTTAAGGGCTCAGAACATAATACTCCAAAGTATGGCATACTGGCATACTGAATATTTTAAGTTAAAGAAATCCAGAGAACTGCAAAAGCAGAAAGGTCACTCTCTGACCTTCTCCCACTTCCTCTCCTCAAGCAAGTTATAAAAAAATTTTCTGACCTAGTTCGACTGAGAGAAGGTCATAAGACTCTCATTCCAAGGGGGTCCTGGTCTATACCCAGAGTCCAAGATGACTCTGAACAAAGAGGCCTTATTAAGTTTCCCACAGTTATTACCATTAGATAATACCCTTTTGTCCTCTAATCACACTTCTGCATGACTGTTAAAAAAATATAGTTTTCCCTGTGTTTTTGGCTCTTTATTTCAGAAGATTCTCATGTCCCATAAGCATTGGTTCGGTAAATTTGTTATGCTTTTCTCTTGTTAGACTTTCTTTTATTACAGGGGTCTAAGCCATGAATTTGCAATGGGTGAGGAAAAGATATTTACTTTTTCTCCACTATAATACACAAAAAAATGATCAGATCCGAATAGGGTAAAATCGTTCTTTAAAAATCTAGATAAGAGTAACATATATAAGCATTTTAAAAATTATGATTTTCATAGCCAACTTCTAATTTGGCCTTTAATTATATCAAAAGGCAGGAAACACTTTTAAAAGGAATTGACACTTTTAATATTGTTCATTTCAGTACTAGTCTAATGATTTTTTAATTGCATTAACTGTCTTTGAAAAATGAAAACCAAATAACTTGTGGTAATATTAAAATAATTTTAAAATGTATACAAGTTAAACTTTATTCAGTTACTTATATACCTATGCTTTAAGGCAGAGAAGTTATAATAATATAAAGTGGGGATTTTAAGTCTATTTTATTCTTCATGTTAAGTTTTTATTTAGAACAGTTTTTATTTCCATTTTATGTTGCTGGGGATGAGAGGAAAGGGACGTATTGCTTAATTCAGCCTCTAAAACATTATTTGGGATATTCATAATGTATATGAATGAGTAGTTAGTACATGAGAATTTCACATATAATTGATGTGACTATTATGTAAATAGAATACCTTATACATACTCAATTTGATAAAGTTCTACTACATCTTCAAGGCTGAGTTAATACTACAAATGGCATAAAAAACTTAGAAGTTCATAAGACTTTTTCAATACAAAAGTCAAGTTGATATCAACAATGTTGCTAGCTCTGGGGTTAATTAATAAGTGCTCCAGTCCAGGTCCTGTTATTTGGTCATAAAATACATTAATGATTATTTTTCATCTCAACCTCTCAGTGTCCTCTTCTATAAAGTGGGGGTAACAGTGCATATCTAGTTGTTGTTGGGAGGAAGTTTAATATAATGTCCATGGAGTACTTATAACAGTCTTTGGCATAATAGTAATTAGTAGTTATTCTTTTTATTATATGTAGAGGTGAGTATGTGAAAAATATTGAAGTAAGTATGATTCTGATAAATTATGTTTATGTAATCAGAGTCCTTATATGTTATGTTGAGGTTATATGATCAGGTTATATGAGGCTGTTGTGCTGGGTGGAATCTGGTGTCTTGCCACCAAAACAACTTTCTAAACACCAACTTATATGGCTGATACATACCCCACCCCATAAACACATGCATACAGGCACACATGTACATACACTGTTTACACATACATTACTTTTTGGATGAGAAACAAGAAATTTAAGCTATAAGTGCTAGGCCATTAATAACAGGCGTTGGGTAATGAGACACCAAGATGACAGACAATGGTGTTATACAGAAACAGGAACAGTTTCGTTGGACTGTGGCAGTTACCCTGGGGAGATCCTAAAAACCACAAGAATTAATTAGGGACTCCTTCAAGATTAAGGAAGAGAAAGAAAGAGAACTTTTGAGTATCTGCTTTATTAACTTGTTAATAATTACAAGGTGAGTAGGTTGTTGATCTGTAATCATACTCAGATCTTTAAAACTGCTCTTTTTTTTCATTACAGGATACAGACTACAGGATAATCTAGCAAGCTTCAAGAACAGATCTGAGCTGCACTGGAACMCTAAAATTTCTTACATTATTAAAAGTAATTGTGGGCAGTCATACATTTTCTTATCATAAAGTTTTTATGGATAATTTATTATATGAATTTTAAACTTAATTTGATAAATACAAATATCATTATAATTAACTCAATTATATCATTAGGATCTTATCTATGCAAGATATATGAATTTTCAGTTCATCTTGTTTAAAAAAATCACTGCATTTCAAATAAGTACAAGTATAAATGTACTCAGTGTGTGTGTGTGTGTGTGTGTGTGTGTGTGTGTGTGTATAATCTACATTACTATAATTGGGTCAGTAATGGTAGTCAAGGTTGACTAGAGGAGGATGGGAAGTAGGGATATGGATCTGGATTCCTAAAACTCAGTACTACCTCATATGCATTTTTTTTGTAATTTACAACTACTTAGGCAAAGTTAAAGACAAGTTCCTCTAGCCCACCCATACAATCTGACCCCTCCCCCTTCCTATATAGAATTTGAGTCCTTCTACTAAATATTYTGCCCCCAAAGAAGTTTTCTTTTCTTGGCTTTTAATTTAGGCTCAAATATCTCAGTAATGGAAGGTACCCAAATTTCTTTATATTTCAAATAAAAGAATATTGATAAGGGTTCATTTTCTATACCTCCTCTTTCTTTGTGAAGATGAGTGCTGAAAATACAACTTGGACACCAAAGGCCAATGACAACACTACTGCATACTAAAACACAAGAAAAACAGAGATGATGTTTAGTTTTTAATTTATATTTTAGATGCTATAATAATGAGAAAATACACATCATATGAAATATACAGCCTAAAATATACATAGGTATCCCTAAATTTTACTGTCTTCATAAATATTGGCATAATTATTGAAATAAGGACTCAATCAAAAATCAATTAATGTCTGGATAAGAATATTCTAGAAAGAAGTGATCATATTCCATGGGAACCSAAACAGGCTACTTGGTCTAATGGAGTTGTTGATGATATCCTCTTAATTCAGAAATAAAGTTGTTCCAAAGGGGAATTAAAAAATATGGCACTCCACTTATTGGATCATTCTGCTAAACTTGTGATCTAATTTGCAAACTATTCTACCATGTATGAAGTAAAAAGTACACCAATAGTAGCTGCAATAATAAATTCTGCATGGGTTCTTGAACTAGTTCTTTGAAAAATTAAAGCTTCAAATAAAATGATTTTCACATGAATTAGACTGTTTTCTTTCTTAAAACCTATAGCTAYTTCAGTCTTTATCACCAGAGTTGAATGTATTGGTACATATAATCTAGAGTTTATAATAATTTACAATTCAGCAGTCTAAATATTTAAAAGGTAGAATATAAGTAGTAATTATTTACTGTTCATATTATTAATTTCACAGAGTTTAAACATTTGATACTTTAAACTAGCCAATTAAGTACAAGTCTAAATGTACTGTGTGTGTGTGTGTGTGTGTGTGTGTATAATCTACATTACTATAATTGGATCAGTAATGGTAGCCAAGGTTGACTGGAGGATAGGAAGAAGGGATATGGATCTGGATTCCTAAAACTCAGTACTACCTCATATGCACCTACATTTTTTTTGTCATTTACAACTTCTTAGGCAAAGTTAAAGACAGTTCCTCTAGCCCACCCATACAATCTATAATTGGGTTGGTAATGGTAGCCAAGTCCTTATTTTCTATTTGGCATAAATATTTTTTATTTTCTGAGACAGAATTTCAGAGATAAAACTATTTCTTGCCATATATTGAGAAGTTTAAATTTACAATTCTACATATACTATCTCACTTGATWATCATTAAGATAAAAAGAGATTGGTAGAGGCAATAAAAAGTGTACATAATAATTAAGAAATGGCTAGATTAGAGCAGATTACTAGATTATATTATATTAGTGTCTTGAATTAGAGCAGGTATAAACAAAATCCCTTTAAGTTGTGGAATAGTCTTTAGGCCTATACAATTTATCAGTTGACTGTGCACATTAAAATAGTTCAAAGGAATGTGTTCATAAGAAAAATATTGGTATATTCAGAGAAGAATTAGCAAGGGTCATGATGATAATAAGTAGCAGTAGCCTTCCATGGAGTGTCTAGAAGGGACAGTAGTATCTTTGCTCCAGGGCTTAATCTCTCAGATCTTATATACACATGCATCTTTATGAGGGTATCTATGAAAACTTTTGTCATTTGGATGCTCTTAATACATAAATCACATGGGGTGTTTATGTTTTTTCTCGTTCTACTTTCCTCCTTTAGTTATCATCCCTAATCCCCAACATTATACTAGTAGCAGGCTGTGTGCTTCTCTTGCTTAACTGGTAATTTGTGGAAAGGAAAAAAGAAATCAAGATTTTCCTTTCAAGTCATTTCTGTCCTGGTTTCCCTATTCCAAATCTGAAGGCCAATCAGAAAATTAGGCTAAATATCCCRGAAAGAAAGATAAGATTTGAGAAGAAGACTGGGCTTTGGAGGAGAATAAGAAGAGAAAGGAGTCACTTTTTAGATTAAGAAGATTCTGAAACAGATCCTGGAAATTGTGGTTCCCAGAACAATAGGCACACAGCTTCTTGGCATCTTCCTGGCAAGATACTATAGGGAAATGACACTGTAATTTCCAGCCTTGACTAAAACGTTCATGACCAGGGTAAAAGTCTAAAAACTCTAAGTTGCAATTACTAAATATAAGTAGTAACTGGTCCTTACTTAGGTCAGGTGTGATTCCATTAATTGCCATGTCATTGAGGAGGTGTGACTCTCCTAGGGACGGGATCCTGCTGGGAAGGAACCTAATGGCTATTTGCTAATCCTTCACAAAAGGGTTTCACTGGTATGCCTGCACTGAAATATGCTGGATGAGTAGCCCCCTGTTGCTATCATCCCAGGCCATTCCAACAGCAGAAGGAGTACATCTGAAGGCACCATGAGACTTGCTTTTGTGGTAACCAGTACAGACTGGTAACTAGTGTCCAGAGTGACCAACCAGACCTCAGCAGTACATAAAAGCAAGGTACCTCTACATTCTTCCTGGAAATGGAAAGAAGGGCTGCAACAGAATCCTTTATCTGCTTGATAGGAGAGTGGTTATAAATTCAAATTTGATTCAAAGGAAAGTTTAAAAGCTGTATTTCATCTAAGTGAACTGTCATCCACACCTGCCACATGTGTGGTGAATGGCTCATGTTCAGGTGTACACTACTGATGATCCTTCACCTTTCCATGTTAGGTGCTAAGAGAGAGAGAGAGATAAGAGGCTAGACAACTGCCGTGAGTCTGTCCCTCTCAGCAGTTAATTTCTCTTCGTTAAATAATAAAGTAGGATTTAAATTATAAGGTAGTTTTCCATATGGCACACTGACAGGCAAAAATATAATGACTAGAGGACATGTTTCCCCTCCTCCTCTTCCTCTCCCTCCTCCATCCGCACCTCCTTTCCTTTTTATTGGTACTACTCTTCCCCCTCCTACTCCTTCTTTACTTTGCTCATTGACTCTTATATTGACTCTTATATACTTTATTATGATTTTAGTCTTCAGATTCCTAAGTTTGGTTAACTGCACTTCATCCAGGAAATGGGTTAGTGTTGACTGTATATTGAAAATTAAAAATTTAAGAGTGCAACTATGGAGGTACCTGATCCATGGTGGAAAAAAACAATCTACCTGGAAGTTTCTTGGGCATGGAATGTCATTCAGATTACCCCCAAGGTCATGCTCTACTGAAATACTATAGCAACATAAATCACAATTGCTCATATGAGTAACTTGGATACTCAATATATACAACATGAAATTGGGCTATTGAAGTAAAATACATACCAGAATTAGGAGCCATACAATTTTGATGTGAATTGACAAATAACCCAACAGACAAAGAAGAACAACAGCAGATCCCATTCCAATCAAGATTTGAGAAATATATATAATGAATTGTTTGTTTTCATCTGTGGAAAGCACAAAATGATTTATTATGAAGTGATATTTTATTTACTTTCTATTTAATAATAAAGGCAGTTCAATGTTTTCCTATTACTAAATCACTAGGATTTTTTTCTCATTTGATCTCATTCCAGCATCTCTTATTTACTCTTAGCAACAACTTCTTTTCTTTTCCTGACATAATAGAGAATTCCTTCAATCACAGAAAATCTTTTTACCTTTATCTTCATTTTACTCTATGATAGAAGACAATTGTTTCTAGGTTGACCTCTTCCATTTCTAATGCATGTTCAAAAATTCATGTGTTTACTCATTCATACATACATTCATTAAAATAATTTTTGGTACGCATATTTATAGGTTGATTGTTACTTATTCTTGTATATACCCTGAATTCATTTATAATATGTTCTTTCCTTAACTAAACTGTGAATATTCAGTGTCAGTGACTGTATATTTATCTGGCTAACAGACTAACTGTTGAATTGTGGTGGTACATCACAGATTGTAGAACAGTAAATGCACAACAAATATTTATTTTTCTTAGAAGACAAATACATGAGTTACATAAGTTTTACATTTTTCTGGAAGAACAATGGAGGCAGGGGTATCCTGGAACAGTTTGTGCTGGCTCATAAAAGTCAATTGTTAAGTTTTCAGGAAATTTACAAGCCAACTGAATTCACATTGGGGTGGGGGAGTATTTAAACTATGGGAATGAACAGATGCCATGAATCAAGATTCTCTATTCAAGAGCTAGTTGCTAAACATTCACCAGCATTGTACTGGACACCAGGGACACATCATCCAGTGAGCAAAGGAGGTTAAAGGGTTTGGTTTAAGATTACTGGAAAAAGTAATACCTGAGCATACATAGTCTTTAAATAATAATTGAAAATACCCAGGCTGGAGTGGTAGAAGCATTGCTGAAATTATGGGCACTTTGTGTACTATTTTCCAATTTTTCTCACTTGAATGAAGTTCAACAAGGACAGGAACTGGATCTTTTTTGTTCATGATTGTATCTTCCACATATGAGGCAGTGTCTGACATGTAGAAGACGCTTAAATTTTGGCACATGAATAAATAATGGCAATGAGGATCCAGAGAAGAGCTTTCAATAAGGAAGCTACATGGTCAAATTTGCATTTGAGTGAATTATGTTAGTGATATTTGGAAGATAGCTGAGAGAAATGATAAGAGCAAAAGACTCTTGGAAGTTATTACAGTGTCAGGAGATAAATGGGAACTTACTTTGAATGGGCTTACCATGAAGGGAAGGTGAGCACAAAGGTGTTTTAAAAAGAGGAAAATCAAGTGAAAATGGCAGATATGTAATAAAGGAAGACTCAATATTTGGGATCTTAATTTGGATGTATTTAATTTCAGATCCTAAAACCTTAATTAACATTTCACTCACTGATCTGAGTACACAATTTTAAAAATAGAACTCAAAAGAACAAGTTCCTTACTTATTTTTACCTTTTCAGGAGCTTTTTACAACTCAATACACCAAGATTAACAAGAATTATCTGTCAACTCCACAATGAAGAAAAAGAAAAAAAATCTTTTTGCTCCACCTTAATTGCTACATTATTAAATTAGATATTGTGTGGGTCCTTAGTCCATTGCTTGGCACACACTGAACCCTAATTAAGTGGAAGCTATTATTAAAATTATTGTGTGGATGGAAAGGATGGAAGTTTGTTGTTAAGATCTTCACAGCCCCGTGACTCTGGGAAAGGCGCTAATGTACTCAGACGTCACTAGCCTTGTCCAGAAGCAAAGTATATAAAAATAAGAGAATAAAGATATCAGACATTTAATATAGTTTAAGGCTAGCTAGATTATTCAATTTTGTAGGACTTTATAACATATTAAAGTTTTCTATTTAGCATTTCCTTCCCTACATTTTTTTCTTATTTGATATCCACTAAGAAATAAGTCAACTCTATACTGAATGTTTGGCCTTTCATTTAATGATGAATAGTGCTGCTCAACAGAGGGTACTGTGAGAGTGGATATGTTCTTTATCTGTGCAGTCCAACGAGATGGCCAGTAGCCATAAATGCCTACTGAATACTTGAAATGTGTATTTCTTCCCTTCAACAGAAGATGTTTATATTAAAATAACCCACAGCCTATTTATTCCTATACTCCAGTCTACAGTGACCACTACAAATCACAAAATGGCAAAATAAAGGCAATGTAAAGATCTCACTTGTTTTTCATAAAGAAAGAGGCTCATCTATTTCATCCATGATTTCAAATTTGGAGAATATTATATTTTATTTGTGTGATGGTAAAAATAGTTCATAATTAAATTTTAAAGAAATGATTTGACTATGTTGATTTTTCAAGTCTACAGATCTGTAAATTCTAGAGTTGGCAGAAAACTCAGTTTTCCTTTCCCTCCTCTCCCTTGTCTAGTAACAGCTCCTGGTTCCCCCACCTCCTCGAATTGCCCTTCCTTTATACTGGATTTAAAACCTTTTTTTTTAATAAGGCACTTATGAAGTCATCTGGCAAGACCTTTAGAAGGAATGGTGGGCCATACTTAATGGATGTTAGAGAAATACTGCCACCTGCTGAATAGATCATCATAATTGTTTTAAGTGAAATGCCTTGTTTATTTCATTAAGAGAAAAAGAAAAATATACATACCCAAAGCTGTTAAAAAAGTATTTCTATCTAATAAAAGGCATGCACCAAATCCCACGAATAAAAGTCCAAGAATCTGTAAGAAGTCAATATTTTCAGTAATTGTCTAGATGAATGTATTATATTTTCTTCATTAAAAATATGAAAATTCTTACCAAAAAAGCTGAATTAATGAGATTAAGAAAGTACTTAAAAATTAATATTTTGTTTTTCTTTAACATTCTGCTTTTCTCTGGAAATTGGTGAATCTGAAAAGATAATCACAAGTTTACTATAAACATTCAACCACAATAAAACTTTATAATTCTGCCTACTTATGACATTTGCATATTTTTCTTCTTAAACCAGTTTTCAGTATAACATTCCTGTGTTCCAATATAAGCATGTACTGAAGGTCCCTTGAGACTGTACCCATCTTTCTGTATCTGCATTGCTTTGGAGCAGAGGCTGTGAAGAATGTCAACAGTGCTTTACTGACCTTGCAACTTTCAGATATTTTATTTTGTTTTTAATCTTCATACACCTTGTTCCCCTTGCTAGAAGCTTTTCTTAACCTTAGTCTAAGATTTCCCTCACATCTACTTGGCCCTCCTTTTTCCAGAATAATGTAAACTCTTCATGGAAATCTCAGCTTAGAGGTCTTTCTTTAACTCCAGTTTGTCTCTCTCTGTTTTATCATTCACCTCTTTTCCCATCTAGAATTAGAGATATTTAAGTTGAAAAACAGGTCGTGATGCAGTTATAATGCCCAAGTCTAACGTATAGTAGTACTCAACATATTTGTTAAATCAAAACAGCAGTGAGTTTGTTTTAAAGAATTACTGACGGTTGTTTACATTAAATAATTAGTTTTCAGATAGTCAATTTTCCTAAATTCTTTGTGGAAAATCAACACTCACCCCACTGAATTTTGATGATTTGTTTATTAGACATGGAGGTTTTAAAATCTGGGTATGTTTCTGGCTTTTCTCTTTTCCTTCATTGTTTCCATGCTCACTAGCACCATATTTTTTAAAATATTATAGTTGACAATGTTTTAATATATGTAGTAGCTAAACTGACATGATGGGAGCAGATTTAATACTCTAATTTTAAACTATTTGTGCCTGATTAGGAAGGAACCAATCTCTCTGGCAAGTGGCAGGATGTACTGGAATGTGGAAAAATAATAATGCCCATGTTAGATTCTACCTACTTTCCTCCCTACTTTGCCCTGAAACCAAATGTGTCCTAAAAACTCGCAAAGTACCACCAGACTTTGTCTTCAACCTCTGCTTTGAACTTGGCCACTGTCATTTGGTTTCTTCAATTTCTGCCTAAAGTCTTATTCTTGGATTTCTTCAATGCCTGGCATATTTTAACAGGGCACACACTTGGAAAGACTGCCTGATTTTTATTTTGCTGTCTCCCAGGATGCTGCAGATCTTTATTTCTGGCTTCAATTCTATTCACTGCTGTATGTGGGAGAATTGTGATCCTCTCCCCCAGTATGAACAAGAACTTGCCTGGCCTTTGCCCATCTTCAAATGAGAAAGAAAAAGACAACTAGTAAACCAGAAAACCTTGCAGTAACCCTGCTGTGAAATGTCAAAGGGATGGACTTGAGTTTTGATGTGGTAATAATCAACCTGTTATGTAGGGTCAAGCAGAAATACATGACCAAAACACTCTAATATAGAAATACACTGAAGTTTATTCTCAGTCCAAGGTGGATGAATAATTTTCTTCTTTGTCTTAGAAATTTTGGGGTACGTGAACCAACATGTTGATATGGGTCCCCAATTTGCTTTAGGGTATCATCTTTTATATCAGCAGAAAGAAAAATAGTGTGCATAAATTAAGGAAGCATTGAGAAAAGCAACTGAGAAAAAAGTTGAATCCCACCCTTCTCATTTTCCCTTTGCACAGACTTGGTCAAATCACTATGTACAAAGTGCTGCTGGTACAACCATGAAACTGCATGTTATGATATGGATCTGGAATGTGCCCCCACAAAAGCTCAAGATTTGAAAGTGTGATCCCCCATGTAGTTGAGTTTAGAGGTAAGACTTTTAGGCAGTGCTTAGGGCTTGGACCTCATTTGTGGATTAATCCATTTGCTGAATTAATAATTTGAAGGGACTATGAGGTAGTGATTATAGACAGGTAAGATATGGCTGGAAGAAGTTGGTCACTGGTGGTATGCTTTTGTGGTTTATATCTTATCCCTGGTGCCTCCTTCCACACATTCTCTTTCTCTCTTTGTTGCCATCCTGCCATGATGTTCCGTGTTACCTTGGGCCCAAAGGAATGGAGCCAGCAGGGTGAATACAAATTGAATCCTCTCAAACTGTGAACTGAAATAAACTTTGCTTTTTCTAAGTTGTTCTAAGTTGACCACAGTAATGAAAAACTGACAAACACTGATAAAGGAAAAAAGTGAATCAGAGTGGATGAAGACGGAAAAAAACTCAAACCAAACCAACCAACCAAACAAACAAACAAAACAAAACCACCAGTTAGAAAGGGCAATTATAAAAGATCGAGGATAAAAAGAGAAATTGAATTCAGTTTTTGTATGCTTCACTGTGGAAAATAAGCAAATATTATCAGGGAATTCCTGTAGGAAGGGGAAATAAAGGAGTAATAATAATCATTGGAAACAGGAAAATAAATAGTTTAGAAGAAACTTCATGAACTTGATATTTAACAGTTGAGTCTGAAGTGTTAGAGGATATTTGCCTGATTATAACCTTATAAGTACAGGAAATGAAATGCAAATATGTGGGTAGATAAGTTATGCAGGCTCAGGAGTCAACCACAGAGCCAAAATAAGGAATTTAGAAATGGTCACAGAATTGGTGATAAAGAATAGTACAATTAAGAATTTGAAATTTTTAATATCATACTTTCACAAACTAAAAACATAAAGCATGATCTCATGGAAGTCAATAAAGGAGGAAATTTCTAGAATGCTGTAATATGATATAGAAGTGAAAAAAGGATGAGAACGCAGTACTCTCAGTCAGCCACCTTGGTAAGGAGGATGTTCACAAAATAGCAGTTCAGGTCAAAGAGTCAGAGCATAACAAACTGGGCACCTAAACAATGAGCCAAGAAAGTCCATGGTGATGTTTACAGGATGCTAAGAGATGGTCATAAGTAAGTTCTGCATACTGGAAATATGCAAATAAAGATACACAAGTCTATGCAGTTCTTATTCAAATATTTGTAATGCAGAAGATCTATATTTGCTTTTGCTATAAAGCGTTTGTTCTAAACTTAATCAAGTAAAGTTTGGTTGTGGTATTTCTTTTGCTCAGTCCTTCACTAGTTAATTAAAGTTCCATTGGCAAAGACACTTTTTAACATTATAAATACCTGTGAGATAGACAACTTAATCCTAAGTATTGTATTTATGTATTCATAAATGTTCCTTTTCACTTGTTAAATGGCTCTACTTGCTTATCATTGTTTCTATCCCCTTCTATGTACCCAGAGTTGGGGTCATAGAAGTGAATAAGTTAGAGCCCTTCAAGGAATTAAATATTAAAACTGTGAACAAATCTGAATTATGTGTTGGCATAGGGGAGAGAGAATAAAGGGAAGAAAAAAGTTTCATAGAGAAGACCAATAAGAGATGATCTTTGAAAGATGATCAATAAAGTTCTAGTCAGTCAAAAACAGGGTAGAGGTAGGAAGTATTAAACAAAACACTATGCTTCACAGTTTTACAGTGAGGTATAAGGGGCATGGATCAGAGTGGCAAGGATGAAAGATAAGGCTAGAGAAGTAGAATAAGTAAACACTGTGACAAAGTATTCATGTTTTGCAAGTTTGCTTTTTCTTATTTTTGAAGGCAACTAAAACCATAATTCTGGCACCAATAGGAATCCAAATTAGAAAAGAAACCAAACACAGGGAGATAATTTACAAAGCCAATGAACTATTTCATAAGAGATAAAATTGTTTGAACTAAAAACTGCTATGGGGTTGTAAAACAATACCAGGATATGAGATGTTTAGTAGGAAGTAGAAATGACAGTGTTGGGATGGTAGAAAGTATCAAAGATGGAAATTGGATTCAAGTCTGTAGAACCTAAATTATTTCATATCCTACAATGTGTCATTTTTATTGATTTCCCTTATCACAATTTTACAAAGTAGGCATAATTATGCTATTATCCCTTGTTTTGCCAATGAAGAAAGAGACACAGGAAAATAAACTTGTCTAAGGTTGTCCAGTTAATAAGTGGCACAGATGAGATGCAAACCCAAAGGTATAAACTACTGTCTTTGATAACCTTTCCAAGTCCCAGTTTCATCATCTTCGAAAGCAGATTAAAATAGTAATCACCTCACAGGGATGTTGTGAAAATTAAATGAGATTGTTTGCGAAGTACTTTGTCCAATGAATGATTAAATGAATCTTATTGTACCATATCCTATAGCCAAACTAAGATTAGAGAAGGGAGTTGTACATGAGGGTGGAAAATGGGATGGATAACATAGGAAAGTTATGGACTCCCATTTCCTGTGAAGTAGCAAGTCATGTCAGCTGCAAGGAGGGAGCACAAAGAAGACCAGTGAAGGACCCACACTGAAGAGCTGGGATTGTCTTTCAGTGGAACAAGAGAAGTGGACACTTAAGAATCCAATATTATGTTATACATATTAGAAGTATTATTACTAAGTAACCACCCTGTCTCAAGAAAACAAATCAAGAGAAATACTAACTTTGTAGCTATTTTTGAGCAGTACAGTGATATTCTGGGATATTTAAATCATATCATTGCAATATCAAGAAAAAAGAGCTGTTGAAAAATGCTATTAAACTAAGATGGGTCCACCACTCACTTAACATTTTCAAAAAAGATCATTCTTATCAGATAACAGGAACAAACAGGTTTTCCTCACGCTTTCATTCTCTCAATAAATTTTATCATGTGAAATCTAAAGGAAATATGTGTTAGACCTGCAGGCTGACCATCAACCAGATCTGGGAATGAGTTTCAAAACTGAAATAATATAAAATTACTTATTCAAAAAAAGAAAAAGAAAAAGAAAAACTTTGCTCAGGGTAATAGGTCTTGGGTAATTTAAGACTATAATTTCTAGGAAGATTGTAATGTACTTCTACCAAACACTACACAGTTGAAAAGCGACAGTTTTTCAAGTTAAATTTGCTTATAGTCTGTCACTCTTAGGTAACTGCAGTTTTGTTTCTTTTTGACTAGAAATA